ATTTCTTCTTAGTAGACCGGTAACGTTGTTTAAATTTAAACCATCTTCTACGCTTTTCTGTTTTCAAAATGGCCACGAACAGTGAAGGCAAATATCGTTGAAATGGCATTGGCTTCTGATTTCCACAAGAATAAGTATTGAATATGACGAAGTATAGTGGATTATTTATTGGTGCATCTAATATTTTTTTAGGATAATTCAGATTAGTGTTGCTGTATTGTATAGCGATAATATTGTCTTCTTCATTAATGGGTATAAAATGTTTTTAGTTATAGATTATTGGTTCATTTTTATGAATTGATGTTTGAAATAATAAAATATTTCAAATACCTCGTTACTTATCTCACTAAGTTAGTGAAAAACACAAATTATAATTATATATATATTGCTTACGTAGTATTCGTGGTTTACAATTTCAAGCACAGAGTTTAATATTACCTAACGAAATTGCGAGTTTTGACAGTGAAATTATACAGGTACGTGCCGATCTTGAATTTAACAGATATGTGCCGAAATTGTTTCGTAAAATGTTAATAAGATAGAAAATCTTATAATTAAGAGTGGAATATCAAAGGAATGTTTTAATAGAAAGTATTGGGAGGGAAATTATACTTACACGTTTTCATTTTCGATTATCTGATGCGTGTCGAAATTCTTTCGTAAAACATTAATAAGACAGAAAGTCGCATAATTAAGAGTGTAATATCAACGTAACGTCACAGGTGACATGAAATAATGGCCCAAGATACGGGCGAACAAAGAACTTTATTAATAGACAACACGAAATCCATGATGCTACCGGTATCCCGTAACGCCAAAACTCCATTAATTTTACCGTCGTCGAGCAACAAATTGCGTCTGGTTAAACGATTATTTATCCTCGGTCCACAATCAATCCAGAAACAAATCGTAAACCGGTGTCAAATTATTCCTCTGGAAGATAAGACGACTTACCATTTAAACGAGCATTCGTAAATAATTTTATTCAAGCGATTCCCAGGCCTGTCTCGGCGCGAGGCATACACGAACTGCGTGCGTTCGAGCAAAGTTATCCGTTCGCAATGTCTCCTCGGGGCCAGGTCAGGATCCTCTCTTCTCTTTCGTTATTATTATTCCATTCCACCTACAGAAAGTAATTCCGCGGGGATGTTTCCGATGTCTCATTGCTCAAAGTCTAAAGAAGCTTGTTAAACGTTTCTTCAATCAATCCTCATCCACCGGGCCTCTTTCCTCCACCTTTTGCCTTCCCCTCTTTCCCACTCATCCTCCCTCCATCGCGCGGTCGAGACGGACCTGGGGCCATTGTTAAAACCTTTTTCGAGGTTATTACACGTACGATATGTAAATGCGTCGCCGGGTCCGGTCTTCGACGTCGAAGGACCAGCTCCTCCTCCTCCTCCTTCTCCTTCTCTTTTTGTTTCTCTCATTCCGATCCTACTCGCTATTTCTCTTTTATTCTACACCGTTCCTTCTCTCATCGTTGGCAGGGGCGGATAAGATTGGGAAACGTCTCGGCGAAATAGAATCGTCCGGAATAATTACGAATTAATTGGAATTCGTTGAAAGCATACTGTTTTCGACGAAAGTCGGAGAGTGGGGGAAGCAATCGACCGGGGGGACTTTCTGTCGTTATGTGTCCTCTTTTTGTCACCTGAGAATGCGATTGTTCAGAAATTTATGAGAATTCACCGTTTCAGACAATGATTTATCCAAATTAAAATTGCACGAAAATTGATTTCTTGTGCCAAATGTTTTATTACGTGGATGATAACGTATAAGTACGGTGATCGACGAAAATCAGGGAATAAAACAATTGACCGGGGATTTTATGTCATCTTTCCTTTTTTTGTCACTTGGTAATGTCATTTTTCGAATGAAATACACGGAATTTTGAAGTACTATTTTTTTATCAATAGAGTTTGTAAGTGATTATAATTTTTATTTTATTCGTTTGAATACTTTCGGGTGATTCAACTCACGCGTGATTAATATTAGAATTAATGGACTATGAATGTTTATAAAATTTGTCTTCTTGTGTCAACTGGAAATGTTATTGTTCGAATGAAATTCACGGAACTTTGAAGTGTTTAACTTGCAGGAAGACGAAAAATTGACACGAAATCGACATAAATTAATAATGTATTAAGTTACATTCATTGAAATGATTGTATTTATGAACTTTTGGTGGTAACTGTACGTTACTCGATGCATCAATATTTTTTCGTGGTATATATTCAGCAGGTCTCTTCATCAGGTTTCGAGTTATTGACGAGTGTTCGCCAGAATGAAGGTATTTAAGGCTAATCGCTGATCGTTTACTAATCAGCGAACCAGTTTAAAATATATTTCAATAAATTAAAGATCATAATGAGTATTTATTCAAAAAACGTTCCTAGCGGTACTCCATCGTGTATAGTATTTATGTGTATGTATGGTGTTTTAACTGTAAAAGTCATACCGGTGCATTGGAAATATAAAGTCCCAGTGATTGGTAATAAGTGGGTAACTGTTTTGGGCATACATTAGAGTTTTTCTATTTTGCTAATGTGCAATAGCAATCGGTTTTATAACAGGCATGCTATATGCAATTCTTATACTTTAATTTTGTCTGATATAAATTTTAATATTTATTTATAATCACATCTTGTTCATAGAAATATAGCTCGTAAATTATTCAAACGAATTTTAATTAGTGAAAAACAGTTTGCTAATTTTCTTACTCGAACCAGGTAATACTTAACTCCCAAACGAATTACTTGAGTTTATTCAATAGAAATATTAACAAAATAAGATGTACCTACGTCCTTACAGAATTAATTACTTCAACTCTTAAGAAACACAAACTTAATATATTTCTCCTTTACTACATTGTCACAGGTATGTTTATTTTATAATCAACAATTTCACTCCAAGGCTTTTTACAGATAGAATCGCAGCGAAATTAATCTTTAAAATTAACTTACATTTCTGTTACCACCTGTCTCACTATTATTTGACACTTTTCGATATATGATATATTCTTATCCAAAGTAGCCATTTCTACTTTTTTTCACCCAAATTGGCAGTTTCTATAGATACATTACATTCTCCATTTGAAATATCCTAATAATATTTACGTTGTTTGTATACAAAATTCTATACAAAAATTTAATATAAATCTCAAAGAAGTAACACGTCTGTGTACAAGATCTATGCAACTCGCGTGTCTAGTCACCGATCTCCTCGTTCCCGAAATTCGTCGAGAAAAAGGAAAATCCTCTTCTTAGAATCGCGTGGATCCGCTCCTGTTGTGTGCCACTACCACTTCACGGCATCGTCATCACCATCTTTCCCCGACTCCTCCGTAACGGATAGGCTTCACCTCCAGAACGGAACTCCAGTCTGCTTCCAGTTTCTCCCTGGAGAATGGCTCGTTCGCTTAGTCGGAGTCTGGCTCTCCTAACACGCGCTTCGTCGGCCACTCCGTTGACCTTATCCCACCGAGGTGCCGCTTCATGATTTGACAGAGAGAATATTCCACGACGTCGACGACCACACGAGACACGTCTTGTCGCGCCGGTGTGTTTGTGTGTGTGTGCGTGTGTGTGTGCGTGTGTGTGTTCATCGACCTCTTCGTTCGGTCAAGTTCCGTATCGAGATAAATCGCTTTCATCTGAAATCGACGGTGAAACCTCCGGGGACAATATTTGTGTCTATAATTGGTCTGCAACGTGGAGTATTTTCCCGTTGATTCTCGAAGAGAAAGAAGAAATCTTGCAACGTGATTCGGACAGGAGACATAAGAGATGCGCAGGACGCAGTGTCGTCGAGATCTCGAAGGCAGAGGATGATCCACGTTTCGAAGGTCCAGTTGTTACTGTGATTAAACAATTCCATTAACTGTCGTTCAGCTTAACGCATACCACGCTGCGTGGGATATACGTTCTTTTTTTTTTATTTTTTTGTTCTCGGCGTGCATAGTACATGTATACCTGTCTTTTACGATTTTACTCCGGTTTTACTGCGGTTCATGCTTCACTCTACTTACGGCTGACCCTGTTCATAATAATTAATGGTGTTAGGCTCCATGAATGCCTGCAGACTGGTCATGCTTGGCTCTCGCGGAGAATAGACCGCGGTTTATTTGCTCGAGTGCCGTACGGAAATTCTACTCGGAATTTTACTTTTTATTTCATTCATAATTTTGCCTATGTTCGAGACTCCGTAATATCCCGTTTCACCTTAGATTTTCCGCTCGAACCGTGAAACTGGTCGGTAGATAACTCCCGAAACGAAAAGAAAATCTGTTACCGATACGCTTGTGTTAATATGTAGTAAATCGAATGCAATAAATCGAATCGGTCTTTTGGAGAGAGAGAGATTCCGCATAGAAAAAGCCTGTATCACAGAAACCAAGTGGAGGAACTAATAATTCATAAAATCATTAGAAAACCCGACGGACTTTACAAAACGAAACTGCAATTAGCGTCACGTACAACACAACAGATCACTCCAAAGTTACAAAACCGAACGGTATATACGTACAAACTGAAAAGAGTAAATCCGCGTGTACTCCACGACACAAGTCAAGTGTCATTTTAACACAATTCTCCCCTTTCCACAATCCCCGGTTAATTACCACCAAAACGCGTCGAATGTCGTTCCCAAGAATGGATTCCTCGAACGTACTGGACCAGGTTTCGGATTAATCACAAACGCGAATCGTGATTGCAGGTGCGCGATCCCTCAGCGTAAAGGGAAGCGGGGGTAAGGATGCGCTTACGCAGGAAACGGTGCATGTCCCGGTGACGCTACAGAAGCTAGAAAAAAGAAAGAAACAGCAAAACAAAATAAAAAAAAAAAAACAAAAAGGAAGAAGAGGGATACGAAAAAAAAAAAAAAAAAAAAAGAAAAAAAAAAAAAAAAAAAAAAACAAAAAGGAAGAAGAGGGATACGAAAAAAAAAAAAAAAGAAAAAGGGACCGTCATAGAGAGATCGATCACGGAAGCACGAATGACGCGATGAAACTGAGTCCCATTATCCTGTCGTGGGCCACGGCGAGTTGGCTCGGCCCAACCGGAACTACGGGGATACGGGTGCAGCCGTCGAAGGACTACGAGTTGTCCACGGAATTCTTCCTGGTCCCGGGCGACACGGGGATCGACAGGAACGGTCTGGCGAGCGTGGCCAGTGTCATCAGCGTCCCGGCGCCGAACAGGACCGTTTCGGTGTTCAGGCCCCAACCACCGCCGCAACCGCCGCCACAACCATCGCTGCCGCCGCCGTCACCGCCGGCACAGCCGGCTGGAAAAAAGAGCCCGGAGATCGAGGCCGATACTCAACCGTACCCGGCGAGGTCCTTGCTCAGACAACGACCCTGGGCTCTTCCTCTGGCGGCCCTTAGCGCGGCCACGATGCTCCTCATGGCTGGCTTCGAGGTTTTCGTACTGCTCAAGGTCGGTTCGTTTACCTTTACGACACCCGTACGGTTTTCCAAACGGATTTTATTATGATATACGCGAGCCGGGGACTCACTCGGGATACGGCTCGATGTTCGTCGGTTTTCTCACTTGGAGTCGTCGAGTATTCGTGATTCTTGCGGTTTAACGAGGAAATTTAACCCTGGACACTAGCTGCATGTGTCGAGAGTACACCTGTCCCCTCCGATTTAAACGGTAGATCGGTTCCTCAGAATATCGTGCAAATCGAAATCATGGCTTTTTGTAGGAAAAACCGTGTAAATCGAGAAAAAATACAAAATGCACATAATCTAGTCAGTTATTTGATTACATTCATTTATTTCTATCTAAAGTAAGAGTAAAATACAAATGAAAAAGAAAACATATCAGATCATTCGTGAAATAACAATTATATAAAGCTGTACCTAATTCATTTTAGTATCTCCTTTTATAAAAGAATAGACGCTAATAAATATGTTTTTTTTTTTGTGTACAAAGAAGAGGGAATTCCTTTTTTTAGGTTTAATGCCAGGGTTAACAAACGAACGGTACTAAAAAATTACTGTACAAGTATGTATCCAGTATTAATTGTTGTTTTTAACAGTTTTTTTTTGGGAAATTCATGTAAAAAATGTACCGTGTAAATTGGGGGATAGGTGTATGTGACACTCTTGGATCGCAGATGACCCAAAGCACAGGGTATTCAACAAAATACCCGAATGAAGGAATTTTTAATAACTTTCGACTGGATAGAGATGATTTTATTGAACTTTTGAGGTTTTCGAAATGTTTTTCTAGATACGATTAGATGATCGATAATGTATGACAAAATTATGCAATATTTTGTACAGCATATTGTCTTAACACATTTTTTTTATTGCTGTTTCGAGCTTAGTAACTGATTTAGGAACTTGGTAATTCAATTTGTCATTGATGTGTGTATACCCGTAAAGAATAATCGAGTGGTGACATATCCGGTGAATATGCAGACCAGTCAAGACTCCCAGGATAGTGTAGACATCATGCAAACTTAATCAAAATTTGCCAAATATTTATCTACGATGTTGTTATAATTTCCTCAAACTGATAGCGCCCGTAGTTAATTTCCATGCGCGCAATTTAAATTCAATTCGTTCGAGTTTCTTTTACCACCCTGTAGATATTTGAAATGTTATTGAATACCCCCGAATAATTCTTTTGTTATTTTTTTTTGGACATCTCGAGGAAGGATAACTGCAGTATTTTCTTTTGATCTAAAAAAAGGAAATCTGAATGCAAAAGTTATTTTGAACTGAATGCTAAAAGGATTAAAAGGGTTACTATACGTATTCTTTTCTATAACCTTTATGTACGAGATGATTCGATGTTGTTGGTTTTCTCGCAAATATTCGAATTTCATGAAGTGGTTTATGTAACGAGGAATTTGATAGAGATCTGCTTTGTTAACAATTAATAAACTTCGTAGAAAGGATGTGTCTGAAATCATACTACGAAAGTATACGAAGTAATACTACGTAAGTCGAAAATATCGAATGAAATTTTTTCATACATGGCTCTGGTTTCGAGAAAATTGAGTTTGAATATTCGTTAAGTACGCGTGCACTTAACTAGCCTCAACCTGCTCGCCTTACCTAATCTCGCTGTTAGCTAGGATTTGGTATAGTTTAAAATAATGCAGTAAGTTTTAATGTTTAAATTCTTCACATTTTTCATTATCTTTAGAATTAACTATTTCCTCAATGTGATTCCAAAAATGAAAATCGAGAGTACAGTTCTAGTAATCGATAAGCTAAGTAACTGTTTCGCCTCGGTCGATCCAACAGTTGTGCTGCTCGTTTAATTTTCTGGCACCTCTTGTAAAGTGTGCTGGAGCTCCATGGTATTGAAATATTAACTTGTGTCCGATAGTTTACAAACATAAACAGAAACAACTTTCATTAAAAAGAGTTATTTTGTATTACGATCAGTTGTCTAATAACTATTGAACCTAACAGTGTTCAACTCATGTTAAAAAAAAGATACTTTCAGAGATTTAACGTCTCCCAATTCTTATTAACCCTCCGAGCACGGAAGCATGGTCAGCGGTCCCTATTGTTTAAATTGAGATCTATACGTTATAAACAGGCATGGATATTAAAAAATCTAATTTCCATGGGCCAAATATTTATTAATATTATCATTAAAAATTCGACTTTAATATTTACAAAATCTCTTAATTGTTCATTCATTGGTGCATTTACCTGATGTTAAACCTAATGGAACTTTGTTGTTCATATACTTCTTTATGGTATAAATACACTAAAACCGCTGTCTAATAAATTACAAAATCACAGGACATTATTTCCAAAGAGCATAGGAGATTTTCTTTCAAAGTCGTGAACCAGATTTCACCGATATAATGCGGCACCGCGACACCAGAAATTCCAGTCAAGATCATTTCAGAATTCAGGCCTACGATGACCGTTATAAAATTTAATTTACAGTTTCGATCACTTCATTTCCGGGCATCGCGCGCGATCGAAAATTCCTCGGATCGCGTTCGAAGTATTATCAACCGTTTCGAATCTGCCTTCGTGTTCAATGATACGAGACCAATTCTCGCGGTCTTACGAGTCGGTTAATGGAGATTTGAGGAAGCGGCCGGTGAAATAGAGCTTGTAGAAGAATTTTTTTATCTCTTTCTCTCTCTCTCTCTTTCTCGCGTGACAGCGCGTGCAGAGAAGAGGTGAATCGTAATTGTTTTCGTTCGTACCCCTCGACAAGCTCCAATAACCCGGCGTGCTCGCAATTTCGCCCGAGACCTAGGCCTAGTTTGCATGTCGATTGCCTATTTCTCTTTTCCCGTGTCGTCTGCTCGTGCCGATACACTTCATTGAACAGGAGCCGTCAGGAAAGTCCTCGATATCGAGCACGATACATTTCTGTAATGCCTACCGTTATGTTACCCAACGCTACGAGACCGAGTTCCTTTGTTCTTTATATGAAATACACAGTTAAAGTAGAATTCTGATTCACTTCTTTCGAAAAGTTTACATTTTCATTTCTGTTTTTCTTTGGTAATGGCATAATTAGGTATATTGGAATATGTGAACTTGATACTTTGCAATTTCGTTGGTGAATGAACAGTGCAGTTTCTTGGTTTTCATTGAATTTTTTAGGTTTACTGAGAAATGATCCACTGTGTTTTTAAAATTGTGGAACGGTATATTTTAAAATGAAAATATTTTGCTTGGCTGTTTCGCTGGGTAAAAATGGGATATACGATCCTGGAAATTGTTATGAAGACAGATAAATTAATATACAATAAATGCTCGATAAGTGTTCGAGGGGTCCTTGAAACCGAACATTAAATATTTCATGAACTAATCGCCATATGTGGCTGAAACACATATCATTGGCTTCAGAATTCCAAGCTATATCACTGTGCTAAACCTCATTAAAAAGTGAGCGTTACACCTGGGAACTTCTTCGTGAATTATTAATTTCACCTATTCTGTACTAAGAACCTCCGAGGCCGTTCTATCCGGTTGTATTATAAAATCATTCTATCCTGATGAAGGTTAATGTAATTTCTCATCCACTTAAAACAAATTCTGGTCTTTATCATGTTATAAACATGATCAATATAATTCCATGTACAGTAAAGACTCGATGAGAGTTGGATATGAAGTTCCTCGTGAGAGTTTCTACTTCATCCCCACCACTGGGGAGGGGAGGCCGTGGAACGTACAAAGCGCATAATTAATTGTGCCTATCCCCTTCTTTCGGGCAAATAATAGATTTGTAAGGTGTTGAAACGACAGTTTTGAAGCAAACCCGAGTTTCGAACTCTCATGGAGTCTTTACTATATTTCGTAATTATAGCTGGATTAATAGTAACATTAACGCGTTGAAACATGCATTCAATTTCCACGTAGTGACAAAAATGTGTATCTAACGTAAATAAATTGGATATTTTTCAGGCCAGAGTGACCGCGCCGAATAGACGACATTTATTTCTGGGACAAGCCCTTCTTCTAGGCCTCTTCCTCTTGGCCGGACTCTCAGCAGCAGCCTCCCTAAGTCAAAATCCGCTATCCTGTGCTGCATTTCGACTAGTCGGTCTACCCGCTGCTCTTGTGTTTGCTGCCCTTTTGGTTAAATGCGTCTTTTTACTTTCACTGAATAGCGGCATCTACCTGCCGGCACCGTATCAGGTGAGCTAGCAAAGCAATTAAATTTCACAATTAATACAGTAGGTGTATGTATGTATGTCAAAATCAGTTATACTGTCTTGATATGTAATTTTAATTTCTGTTGTATACAGTCAGTGTTGTGTCAGTCGTCGGAGGACATTTTTGGGACACCCTGTATACCCAGAAACCACCACGATACATGCTGGTCTACTTAAATGTATCTGTCATTTGTCTTTAAACAATGACCTTAAAAAAAATGTTTCTATGACATGTGCTCATTCGAATAGTGTAACTTTGTTCCAAGGATTTTTCTATAGAACAAGTAACGACAATATTTAAGTGGTCCTTCCTGTGTATGTATTTCAGGAGTTTTTAACGCTAAAATTACGAATTCTTACACTTTCGAACGTTGAAATTACTTGCACTATCTTTTAAAACTGAACAGTGGAAGAGACAGCATCCACGATATTTACTTTTAAATGCAACGGGTGTTCAGGTTTTAAATAAACTTATCCCACATCTATTGTAGCTCGAAAAAAACTGCCTTAAATCTTATCAAAGAGTATCTCAGTATTAAATTTACTGATAAAATATTATACGTAGTTCGTCACATCGCCAGAAGAAAAAGAAAATCTTTTCCTGACGTTTCTTAAGAAATTTACGTGCTCGTCAAAACTATACAGCTGCCGGAATGTCTTTATCGTACCACACCATTAGTTCTCCTGTTTCCATCATCGAGTAGCCTGGTCTCATGTTACAGAGAAAAGGAAAACCGTTGCCTCAACTCAAGCCCAAGCTGCTCGTTCAATAGTAATTGAAATTACACGACGAAAGTCGCGATTCATCGTCTTTAACGATCCTTACCACCCCCGACACAATGGTTCACCGATGTTCCGATGATTCCCCCGCGATTCTGGCACGCTAATCGAAAGTTTCCATTTAGCCGATTGTGAGCGAGGCTTTACGAAACGACTCTCACGATGGATGCACACGAGGGAGGTAAGGGGGATTATTCTTATCGAGATCCGGATGTCGATCTCGATCGACTATTTGTACGCGCTGGACGGGGCTTGAATGGAAAGTAATGCAGTAGTAACGCCCGCTAGTAATAGCAGTAAGTGCAGCTGTCGTGGTCGTTAAGTACATCTCGTTCTACATTGAATAACGTTAATATTTCCGATACTCCGGGCGTAACGGATTCGACGGGTTTCGCTTTGTTGCTCCTCGCCCAGTAGGTGTGATTATACGCATCCAAGGAAGCGACGATAAGAGCGCATCCGAAACCAGTCTCGGAAATGTCCTATCAGAAAAATCCGCTGGTTTCGTTGCGTAATAAAATTTTTCTGATATACATTGACGATATTATTACGCATTTTTTAAGGGTTATAGTTGGGGAAGGGGGTGCGGTGCCACCTCGGACTTTCGAAAATTATAGGGGTATTCGGCAATTCTTTTATTTTAAACAATGGACACAATGGAAAATCTGGTTAATAATATTTATTATAGTACATCTATGGAAGATTGTAAAAAGATTTTTTGTTTTTTTTTTTCAACAAAATGCCGGTGCTAGAGCCGCCGTGTGCGCGTATTGTGCACTTTGGTGTATCTTACAGAAAAACATAAAAAACTTTCATTTTCTAGAAGATTAAAACTAAAGTACACACGGATTTTACGATTGCTTGAAAATATTTTTCGCTACAGAGGATGTTATTCCATCTGTAAAAATATGTTCAAAATGTAGATAAAATATTTTTGTATAATGCTTCGTTTTTGGGATAATCAATTTTGGTAATTCACCTCATACCTACGTGCTATGTAGTCGGGCTGACAATAAGTAGAAATGGAATGTAACGAACAGACGCGTCAGCCAAGTCTTATTCAATCAAGGGGCTCAAAAGAAAAACGACCCTTATGAAATATTTCGGTTTTTGTGATAACAACAGATTATAGTGCTTAAAAACGAGACTCGCAACATGGTGGAACCTGTACTATCAAAAATTAAAAACGACCTATGTCTTGATCGAAAAGAAAATTGATTGATTCTTGAAATTCCTTCAGTGTACGGAAAATTAGTATCCTCATGGGTTCCACAGACCCAACACACGTACTAGAGGGTTAAAGATGCAAAAATATTTCTATACTCTCTTGACAAAAAAAAAATTGTCAAGAGTCGTTTTTATTATGAGCCCTTCAATTACATGCGTATCCAGTAGATCTTCAAATTCGATTATCTCGAAAATGACGCATCACAAATAAAATTTTGTTATGTATTTTCAACCTATTTTAGCGTGTAGAATAATCTCCTGTCCGGTTGTAACACCCATTCTGAACCACCTTGTATATTCTCTAGCGACACAGGATTTTTTCAACACTTTCAATTTTTCCGCCACTTACATTTCAAAACTGTTTTATTGTTACAGGCATTAGTATTGGGATTCGCCGTCCTGGTGCAGGTAGCTATCGTTGGGCAATGGTTTTACGGTCATCCGCCAGCCGTGGTCCAGGTACTGGCCACAGGACACAGCTCCCCAACATCCTGTTGCAAAACTCCCCTCGGGCAGATTGTGGCCTCCCTCGGGTAAACTTTTCAAATGTAAACTTTCCAGCGACACTATTTTTTCCGGCTCTGCGTGATTCCCCGACATTTAACATTTAACTAAATGTTCGATGTTATTCAGTGGAGTCACACATACCTTCTGTTTTCTTCGAATACACTTAGTAGTCAACTTTCATCCTGTATATCTTACTTATTGCTATTGGATTTAAAAATTATTGTTAAATTCAAGAATTCTTATCCCTAATATTCTCTAGCTGCTTTTTAATCAAATTCTCTCTTTTTGCCGCCGAAGACATTCGTGAATTACTGCAACGCTTCTTTCTTCCGTGTCGAAATAAGAGCGATTGAAAGCATTAGTGGCGTAAGTCAATAAATATGCTTTTGGATTATTTAGGGATTTAGAGAAAGTCTTAAATAAGATTTGACGTCTAAGCGTATAAGTCACCGGGACACCGCGGTTTCAACACACACTTAACAATTCTAATGCATCTTCATGTTTAATGTTTATTAGAAATAAAAAGAATATTAATCAACATAGATAATGTCAGCATGCTTAGCATCAAGTGTAACATAAAAATGGCTGCATATGATAGGCAATGATCATATCACGCTGAAAGCACCAGTTCTCGTCTGATCACTGAAGTTAAGCAGCATTGAGCGTGGTTAGTACTTGGATGGTTGACCGCTTGGGAACACCACGTATCGTTGTCACCTTTTTTGTTCTTGTCTTGGTTATGTTTTATAACAGCAACTTTATTTTCCCTAAACTTCGTCTTTTACTCACATTTTATACATCTCTATTTATATGAGCATTTAAAAGCATTGGTGGTGTAAGTCAATAAATAGCTTTTGGATTATTTAGTGATTTAGAAAAGTAACCCCCTCCTGATTTAATATACACATGTAGTCAAGTATACTGATTAGACTGAATATAATCATTGATCAGTGATCATATGATCATAATCACATCATAATTGAGTATGATGATCATACTGACTGATTGCAAGTATACTATGTATGTATACATAGATCAACTCATATCGATATGATATACTCAACACTTGTTAAGTTATTAGCGAACCCATACACCATCTATGCGCAAGATAGATCGAGGCTAGATGTGATGATAAATAAAATAATGATGTTAAATAAAACTCCTCCAAACCTAATTTGCACTATTAATACCTTCAAGGTCTGACATCACGGAAATCATTATAGTTCCTGGAAGTTATTTTTAAATATCAAAGTAGCAGACAGAGCTTATGCAAAAACTTAATGCATATCGTTTGTCCGTAAAGTTATATAGCATACACATCCATGGATAAAATAGAATGAGGTTATGGCTGTCCTCCGATGATGTGAACTAAAACTCATCAAAAATTCACTTACATCATTAATGCATCGAAGAACTCGTACGAAGTGCCTGACGAAATTGAACTTCGTGTATACAAATGTTCTGTAGGCAGCGTGCTCAGAATATAACGTTTCGGTTTCAGGTATCCCGGTGCATTACTCGTGGCAGTCGCTTGTTTGGCAGTCAGGGCACGAGGCGTCAGAGACAACAACCGGGAAGCGGCGTTTATCGGTCTCGCTGTCGGTTTATCGCTTCCGATTTGGATATCGAGCGCGATCGGCTCGGTGGCCGCTTCCTCGGAGAGCGACAGAGAGGCCTGGTTGGCTTATGGTTTATTAACCACTTCTCTCCTCGTGTTCTTGACGATGTTCCTGCCGAAGGGCCGGCAATTGGCCGCGCTTGGCCGCGAAGCTCCTGATACGGTGATCCGTGATCGCGACGACGGACTGAGCTCGCTTCCCTGCAGCGGCTACTCGCCCTCTTTCTTCCATTTCAAACCAGCGGAGGCCTCATTGAAGAGGAAGCTGCATTATCACAGCGCTGGTATATTTATATTATACTTACAATTTGTTGCCACGGGCGCAGGATGTTAGTTGAAACTGGAGGCTGACTTTAGCCTCTCGAAAACCAAACTGATTAGCTGCGTCAAAAATAACGGTGGAAGTTTTTTACATTGTCGACATTAATTGTTTAAAATCGGACTTGAAATTTATGAAGACTACACGTGTTATTTAGTAAATTATGTAAGACGTAGGCTTGATATTAACCCTCGGAGGGTCTAGGACGGTCGCGGCAGACGATTGCAGGGTCATTTTTATTCGTAGTAAAATTTCACTTTTAATCAGGTTTCAAGAAGAAATTGTGAATATAATTATATGTATATTTTCAAGTTGATATATTATATTTACACGTAACTAGAGAGAATACGGTATTAGGTACAAATGGATCAAAATGACCCTGCATTTGTTTTACGAGGGTTAAAATATGTGAAGTACGTAAAACTGAAGGTATTGTTAGATTGCAATGAGTGGATACGATGCTTGCTGTCCAGGTACCAGTTTCCTTCTGAATTTGAGGTACAGAATATCGGGAAATATTCGTCGGTCGCTGAGTATATAGATGGTTAATGAGAATGCAGATTTGGGTGGAAAGGTGATGAAATTTATGGTTCATGAGGCCTGAAGTTTCCGGGATCTTAAATTTTTCGGTCCAGCACGTAGGTCTTTTAAGTGGTATTTTTCGCAATAGCCCAAATTAAAGCAGGTGAAAGTTAGCGGATATTGGGTACTCCAACAATATTAGAAATATTAGAATTATAGAAAGTGGAGTTAATCAATTTGGCTTCTAAGACTTCTGTGGTGTATGTAGGGTCATCTAAAGAAGGGGTTGACGATCAATTTTGTCTTTAAACAAATAAATTTAACTGACTCTAAATAATTATATTTGTTGAAAGAACAATTGAGTATTATAAGTTTCAGTAATCATCATGAAAATTCTCTCTCTGAAATGAGAATAATTTGTTATCACAAGAATATGTAATTGAGAATGCTTTATATTTTGTTGCAAAATACAATTCTGTCACATGTTTCGCATTTTTGTGCACAAAGATTTGTGAAATATTCAGTTATTTCCAGCTGAAAATGTAACTTAGAATATTTCAGCGACATATTTTAGAATTATCTAACTGAGTATTTATAATATTTTATATATTAATTATTCTGTTGGAAATTTTCGACGTGTGATATTCAAATAGTAAAGTCATTCGAAAATCGCGAACGAAACGCGACCTAAGTTAAATCGATTACAGCGTTTCAGTTTGAAGTAAGAATCATTATGCAAACTGCTATAGTGGCTATAACTCGGAAGCAAGGCCATAGAGGGAAAACCTATAAACTTGTTTTATTACTCGTATATTCGAAATTTACTGTTGAAATTATGCTTGCTTTTACGTAACATCCTGTACAAATAATTCATATCACTTTAAGTGGTTTTTAAATAATTCTCTTATTTTTAATAGTACGAAACATATTTGTTAGTACTCAAATTTTTTTGGTAAATATTAAAACAAATTTTAGAAATTACTCTTATACAGTAAAGGATAAGACACACTAGACAAATTGTTTAAAGAAATCAGGATAATGACGTCACCTATAGTAACGTAGGTAGTCACTTTTGGATAGTGTAGTCCTTTTTAAAGAAATTTTTGTCTAGCTTTTTTCTTTTATAGTTAACGCAGAATCTGCAAAAAAAATAAGTTTTTTATATTTAATGAACAAGCTTCATTTTTTGGTATCATTTAGATTATTTAATATCATTCAAATCCTTTAACTGTTTATACCAGTCTGATTCAAGAAACAAATTTTCATGGTTATTACTCAGGATTTATCTAAAAAGTTTAGAATACTACGTAGAAATACTATTCCACACGTTTTTAGAGTTTACTACAGAGATCAACGTCTGTAAAATATATTTTTTAAGGCCTGAAATCGAGCCACACGCGATCGTGGTTTCATCGTACTTTTTTCCCGCCGAAGGAACGAATTTCACCCGTGCTTTCGTGCACGCACGAACCATTATACTTTACGTAGTGTCCGTGATTATCGTTCCGTTTCGCTCATTCGGTACGATATTAACGGGCTCGTCGTGTTTCTTCTGTAACAGGACAAAAATGATTATCTTTTATTATGCATTAAATCGAATGTGTTAATTAAATTCCAATTAATGTAGTGAAGCAGTACAGTAATACATACCGTACACTGGAACACGGAAATAAATAAGGCCATGTAACTGTAGTATCTCTTACTTTGAGTATAATGAAATTGACGATAAAGTTGTGTATAATTAATTATTATTAGTTTTTTACACACAATTTTCTTATCTCTACGTGTAGAAATAACAATAAAATGGTTGAAGCTCTGTTAAAATGTTTAATACAGAAATAACAAAAGTTTGTCGAGCTAAATTTAATACGCACTGTAAACAAAATTGAGACGAAGCGGCCGACATCTTTCAATACAGCACGAGGATTAAGTGATTTCTTTAATTGCTAGCAAAATTCTAGTTTGTACAATATAATCAAAAATTTCATGTTTCCGTATGAACGGGATAACTTTTGCTCGATCAGTCGAACTTTTTGACTATTTCATTTTAACAATTAACTTTTTAACGATTGATCGAAAAATCTTAGAACACCGCGGTATAACATTTTCTTAAGTATTATGTTTATAACTGGGATACAATTATTACCTGACTGGCGTGTAAACACAAAAACGACATTACTATTTTTAATAGAAATTCGACTATTATCGTTTTTAATGTTAGCATAGGTATGACTTATCGGAGTGCTTTGAATTGTAGATCGTGTGGCATTAGTTTCATCCGCTCTACCTGGATGCACTGCCTGCAGGCATGGTGGAAGCCCCATATACACCGAAGGTAAGGCTTTCCAGAAATTAGCTGGTTATTAGGTACCGGTACTATCGATTATAATAACATAAGAGGCATGTTAAAGTATTAATAGACACGCAAGCCGTAGCCTTTCCTGGACGTTTAACGAAATTTTACGGAAACACATGTGTATTTCGTTCGTTTTGATTTATTTCACAATGAAAATAATTTTATATAATTAACGTTATACAAAAATTACTACACGAAGAATCAAAATTCGATGAAATAAGTATATCACAAGTAAAGCCTTTAAAGTATTAATGAAGCATATGGTGGAGTTAAAGAATTACTTTATGAAAATGTTAAAAATATTACATATTATTTATTATTCTGGGTTATAATTCCTTGCAGAAGCGTAATTTATTATTTATCATTAAATTGCAGACGTTTTTATAAAATTCGCATTCTTATAAATTGATTTACTAAAGAGAAAATGAAATTTCACTAACAGTCTCATTAGGTTAAACGTGAAATAATAATTTCATACATTGAAATTATCAATTTTAACATTTATTCAAAATGTTAAAGAATATTCACCCTTATAGATCAAATTGTGAATAAACGCACATTAACAAATACTATCGTTCGACCCAAGAGAAGAAGTAAAATCTGATCGTTATATAAAAAGATTTCTGAATTGTTACACTAGAAATCAAATATGTACGTTATTATTATTGAACATGAGAAAGATCTTAAGGTGCTCAGAGTACTAGGGATGAACTCATCTGGGACCAACGTTTAGGTAATCCAACATTTCATTTGCGATTGTTTTCAATCAACCTACATTATTAAATTCTATTTTTTAACATTGTGGTTATGAAAGGTAATTCCAGGGATTCGTTTGATTATTTTGCCGTCACTATTCCTTCTTCCAACTAGGAATATGTATAATAATTTCGTTAAGAATACAAACTCTTCCGTATAAAAATCGTATGATTTCACTGCTTTGTCCTTAATGGGTTAAAGGAACGGAAAGCATAAAATTTCTGGGTTCAAGTTAGGTATCTTCCATCCAGGTATGGAACAATTGGAGAAAGAATTAGTTTCCGAAAATTGCCCTGGAAACTTCCGGTTTTCGTTTATTCTATATACACATATATGTATATACCACGCTTGAAACTTTTCCTCCGTTACGGCATCGCCTCGGGCGACCTTCACCTCGAGTAACGAACGAAAGGGAGGAAAAACCTCGAGCTGGAAAGGCGGAGAGGGAGAAAGTTTCGAGGCGGAGGTCAAGCGCTTCTCCGGGAATTAAACTGGAAGGGGAGACGGATCCCGTTAGATCAGACGACGCTGGTTGATTAACCGATTGGTGTCCTGTTGAACAATCAAACTTCTTTTTTCACCATTTTCTTTTATGTCCAAAACACACTCCTTATAGATTTCCTGTCTTGTAAAAGATAATTGACTTTCGACTGACGTAGTCAAAAGATGAAACAGATACTTCATTTTCAGGTAATTTGTTCTGACTGAACTGCGAATTTTTATGCAAAATATTATTTTATGAAATGATTTGTAAAACCAGGAGTAAAACTAGAAAATCCTTTCTTCCTTCAAGGATTTTTGGGGTGAAAATGAAATAAAAAATTTGTTAAACTCAATCGAATTTTTATGTTTTACTATATTTGACATAGTTTTGCATAAAATTCATAGTCTAGTTATGATAGAGACACTGTCCGTGATATAACCCCTGACAAAAAGTCTGTTGGAGAGATTATTCCGATATTCGACACGAAAAATACTTCTATTAACCATAAATGGTGTTCGATTTATTGGGTTTTGGTGGACTGTTAATATAGAAATGTATATGTATTTTTGTTAGTTAAATGAAAAAGTGAGATGTTGTTTGGAGAACCATTATCATTTGTTTTGTACAGTAATTTTATAATACTAGCGGACACTACGTTATTTTTTATTTAGTAAACAGACAAGAGTATTCATTGCTTTATTAATATTTTTTACAAATATCATCAAATCTTCTATTTTATTTCTATATTATTTCGGTGGATTACATATTTTCTGCCAGGGGTAGCAATTACATTTTGATCAAATCTTTAACATTTGATTATTCATTTTCACTTCATAAGTTTAATTATTTCGATCCGAGAGGATTGTCATACATCGTCGAAATTTCATTTTAATTACAACATTTACTGATCACAAAATTAATTCACAAAATTACTATCCATGATCCTGAATTGTCGGAAGATTTTAAGCTGTTTCGAAATATTTCTGCCTACCTGGAGAACATTCCGAATAACTGTTTTCGTTTCGTGTTACGTCTCCGTGCTGCAGTGCCCATTATTGCGGGTAGGGTGTGGAATATACTACAAATTGCGAGACAAAGGTCACCAGCCTGCAAGGCATAAACCATCCGCTCGTTTATGACACTGGTCATGGTAATCGTACTGTCCAGCTCACGTCGCTTTATCGTTTTACGATTAGATTTATGAATCGGTTGATTTCGTATCGGAGATCCTCCCGAGATCTCGGTTAAAATTATTCAATTTATTTTCTAGTCAATTATTAAAACAACGGAATCTCTGCATTGCTTCGCAGACATCCCTCCTCCTTCGCATAATTTTTATAACAACACGTTTTTTGGTATTACTTTTTCATTGTAATAATTTCATAATCATTCTTAGTAGTAATATAAAGTTTATGGTTACTTATACCATTACAATTCGAAATTCTCGTTAATTTTACTGTCAGTGTCAAGGATGAGTTCCATGCTGTTAGAAGTTATTGGCCCGTATCGCCCTGCTTCTGCTACCTCTTCAGACCGATTCGATTTCAACGAATAATAAAATTACTCGTCCGTTGCAAGAAACTTTCGAATAATTATACGGCTGTGAAAAGTGTGACAGGTGCGACCCACTTCGAATCGCGGTTACGTTTACAAAGTTAATCGTGTTGCTGTTTAATGGGAAACCCCATCTTAGTGATTCACTGTGTAATTTTGTTAAGTACTGTCTACGTAACCGGTAGATCTGGTAAAAATATCAGAATGAGGATAAGACGTTTGTCATATATAAAGAAATTGCTATAAACATGAAATTGAAACATTATTGCTTAAGTACCGAGACCTTGTGTTGCACGTGTTGGTCACGTATTCAAAGAAATAATTGCAAGGAAATTATAGTATATCATTTTCGAAACTTAAATAATGAAGAAATATGTGATAATGTAAATTTCCGCTGTAAACAAGTATATAAATGAGTAACGATATGCATAGATGAATTTTTGAATGAATTTTCGACACAGAACTGAATAATATTATTAATATCGTGAATGAAAAAATATATATGCATATTTACCGTTGGAATACATCACGGTCTACTGCTTAAACGGTATAACAGGTGGATACATAATACACTTTCATCATTACCGGAAATTAATATTAAGATTTGGTAGGGCACCAATGCACACTCCGTGTTTTAACCCAATTTTTCATTCTGTGAGTATTGCTTTGAGAAAGATAAACCCACGAAGATCAGCCTTATCGTAATTTATTATAGCATGTATGTATGTGTGTCTGTGTGTGTGTTTGCATTTTCTTATTGCCTTTTCCGTCAGTAAACGGCATGCGGTAAAATTAACTTTCTAAGGTAATTAGCCTGGTAGTCTAATGTTTCTTATGGGAAACTTAGAAACTGATACGAAACATGAGAAGATACTCAGTAGTAGTTATTACCTTATTAAGCTTTGCACAAAGTGCATCTACAGTTTAATGATGACAATATTAATGTAAAAATGGTATTAAAAGTAACGTTATTATCCTTCTGTTATCAAGATAAAACCTAAAAGACTTACCGATTCTAATTTTCTCATCTCTTTTTCCGCTTCAAGCAGTAACAATTTACCAGTCATACTATGCTTATCATATGATTTATTAAACAAAACATATCGTACCCCCATGAGAAATGTGTCTAGAGATGGTACTAACATTACTTTGTTCAGTACATGAAATGCTACGTAATGAATCAGTTTCTTTTCGTTCTCCTGAACAATTACATGTTTTCGATTTGTGACACTTTTCTTGCGGGTGTGTGTTATAACTGACGTAAAATAGGAAACAAATTTTTCATAATTATAGAGAGTCAAGACAAAAGTCTCGTAAATCTCGTTTGAGTTTTGAGATCCAAATACGATCTCTCGGTACCAGAGAGTTAATAATAGAATCAATCAAGTGATTGTAATTAATAAAAAAACATTTATGTATGTTTCACAGATGTCCACGGGCCAATGGAGACGTTCGTTTTGCCGCACGGCATGTACTTAAGGCCAGAAGACGCTGGTAACTTGTATACGACACTATCGGCGAATCCGAATGTATTTTTCCAACGGGCCGCTCATCCAGGGATGATGTACTGATAACGATCCCGGAAGTTCTTTGTCAGAAAACTTTGCGGTTTCGATAAACGAAAAGCTTCATTCCTACCTTCTTAGATTAGATACACCACGCAACAACAGACCACGGTTTCCGTTTGTTCGCGTTGTTATTGTAAATAACAGAATGCAGGAGCATCGTGCTAGATTTCGCTGGTCCTTTTGTAATGGCGGCGCTCGATTATTACCATGAAAAAATCAAACGACAACAGCTGGAGGCGAATTTTCACGAGATATTATAATAAAGGTGCGATACCTTTTCTATAATCTGTCTTGTTTTTTCCATCGTTTACATGTTAATTGTTATATAAATGTTTCTGATCGATCCACGTTGACATTGTTTGAAACCGGGGTAACTCTAAAAGAATGTTATTGCATTATTTTCCGCATATTAAGAAACGTTCCGCGTGCTGTAAATTGACATGATAAAAAGTTACAAGAGAGTTCACTGGAAAACTTTCTTCACGATTGCTCTTTTATCTGTCAATGAATCATTGCTAGCCGATCTGAACCGTTTCAGCCGTTTTTTCATTATGTTGCAATCAGTTGTAGAGTGTACAGCATAGCGAGTAATACATTTTTAGCATCGTAAGTCTGTTTATTAAACAAAAAAACCAGAAGTGAAACTAAACTTTCGAAGAAAATTTTCTTTGCGTGACAATACCATGTAATGGTGCCATTTAAACTTTTTTTAATCGCTAAACTATTAACCTTCTTTATGAAAATTCTTTAAAAGTTCATGCTTCTTAAGGCTACAAGTATTATACTTTTATACATTTCTATTGATACTTCGTTAGATTTTAACAAATTATACAAAGTCATAACGAATAAAATTCTTTCGTGTGCTGCTTCGTTTTCGAAACAGTCGAATTTGAATATGTGTTTGTTAGTACAATTTAATCCGTGTACCTACTTGTCACTGACTGTTTTTATTTCTGTTAATGTTCATGAACACTGACTGTAACAATTTGATATAAATCCATAAGCAAGAGTTAGTAAGGTCAATACAAAACAGATCACATCGTATGACTGGCAGTATCTATTACAAGTGGAACTGGAAATAACAGATAGACACAAATTCAAGAGACTCGATGAATTTTTAAATTCGATTCTTTTCGAAAATGAAGTTGTATATGCAACAATGTTATTCTGCATTTTCGATTTGTTTTTGTACAGGAATCATTTCCTCATCGGTTATACCATTCACTATGGGGCACCCTGTATTTTTCCATTTCTATCTCTAACTCAAAATAAAAGAGGAGATAGAAAGGTTTGTTAACCCCTTACCTTATTTCCCAGATAGCACATGACGCCTTGAAGATGGCTTAAAGATGCCTTAGACATAAAATAGACGTAAAATGGGCATCTTCAAGGCGTCATGTGCTATCTGGGATCCCAGTTGTAGTGTTTCCTAGTATCATAATTTTCTGTTCCATTTTGACAGCAAGCATTTGCATTAAATTGTTTGGGGCACTGTTTACATTTGCTACGTCACTGCTCAAGGAAAGATAATCACTACACATTTGCGTAATACTTATGTTCTATTCAGTTGACAGTAAACGACAGGTTGCTCCTTTGACGTCACGTGGCAAGCTCACGTAGAGGGGGAGATTGGGTTTCACTCCATCTGTCAACAACAGTATGATCCAGTGTGATTCTCTGAATAGTGTCTAATGCACGGTAAAACGGTAACACGCGTTGTTTTAGTGAAACACCCGTACGATTGACCAAAGTTAATTCCTCTCAATGAGAATTTACGATCAAACCACTCAGCTACACGCTGGCATCATAATTAAACCTTCATAACCTAAAAAATATGTTGGCATGCACTCTGCAAAGTCACCGTACTATAATCTACCCCCGAGTATAGCCAGAGTTGCGTAAATTTTTGGTAGAATATTCTAAAATCTTGTGCTAAATTGTGTTCGAAATGGCCGACAAGTTAGAACGTCTTAGGTAAGTAAGAAAAATATATACATATACATCTTTTTCGTATGTCATACTTGTACTGTAATCGATATTTTTTCTGTAATTACAAACGAAGTTTCGTAGTGCAATTATTATTTTATGTTGGAATCAAAATGATGAATTAAAATTTTAATGTCAAGTAAGAAAGAAGGATTTATTTTATGTAATTTTTTGTTTTATTTATTTTTATGCTTCATATATTACTATAGGTCTTTAATAATAAATATCTACTAAATATATATTTTAGGATATACTTTATCACGTGGAATGTGGCAACTAGACATCCTGAACAAGATTTACATCAACTTGTCAATGTTAATGATAATAATGCTTCTAAATCAATGCCAGACTTTTATTTTATTGGGTAAATAGAAAATGTAATAGATTGTAATTGTATAACAAGTAACTAAACTTATAAGCGGAATTAGTTTACAGGAAGTCAAAGCCCAACCACAAAACATAGTGTTAGACATGATTTTTGAAGATCCATGGACTAAATCTTTTAGGTAAATGTTATAAAATACTTGTAATGTTACAGTTACATATTTCATTATTTATAAAGGTTTATAATTGTGTTCTTAAACATACTATAATTTTTGTAATGTATTTTAATGATGATTTCTAGGGAACTATTAAAAAAGCATGATTATGTGAAAGTACGTATGCAACGGTTACAGGGTCTGGTTTTAAATGCTTTTTGTTTACGGAAACATATTACACACTTGAGATCAATGGAAGCTCAGTATACAAAGACAGGATTTGGGGGCATGTGGGTAAGAGGAATTTGTAACTACATAAACTTCATTGTTATTTCCCCTAATAAAAAGTGTTTGACTTCCAGGGCAACAAAGGTGCAGTTAGTATAAGATTAAACATATATGGAGTTAGTATGTGTATTATGAATACACATCTGACACCTCATGATCATTTGTTGGCAGACAGAATATCAGATTATAATACAATACTCACAAACCATAGCTTTAGTACTCCAGATACTTCAAAAATATTATATCATGAGTGTGTATACATTTTTTATGAACTAATGTAGCTTACATATTTATTTCTAACAATTACTTTCTACGCAGCTATGTATTTTGGATCGGTGATTTAAATTTTCGATTACACGGGGATGATTTAACTGCCACAGATATTGATGTACTGGTTAAAAAGAAGCAGTTGAAATGTTTACTTGACAGAGATCAGTTAAAACGGGTGATGGAAACGGGCGAAGCTTTTGCGGAATTGAATGAAAATGTTATTACATTTCCACCTACTTACAAATATGAATTTGCTTCTCAAGAATTTGATCTCAAGTAAGATGAATTTTGTATTTTGCTAATATTTTTCTAAGAATAACTTTCTTCATTAAGAATTTGTTGTATAGACGTAGACCCTCGTGGACTGATAGAATTTTGTACAAAGTAAATGCTGACGTATATGACGATGTAAAGCTAAGCGCTATTCAGCATAATTACAAAAGTCATTTCAATTACATACAATCGGATCATAAACCTGTCACAGGAGAGTTTGATATCGTCGTAAGATACCCGTTTTGGAATAAAAGAATTGGAATCATATGGCAAAGAATTCATTGGATACATATTGTGACTCCACTTGTAGGTCAGGCCTGGAGTGGCAGATCATGGTGTGGAGTTCCAACCGGTAACTCAGTGGTTCATAGATGAAGAGAATTCTGTATCATATAGACTATTGGGAGATGCTAAACCAGCTAGTTGTGACTGGGTTGGCCTTTTCCATAACGAATTTTCTAGCTTGGACGAATATATCGTTTACGAATATGTAGGTCGAGGTAAAATTCTTGTTCAATCAAATTTTCTACAAACCTACCGAGTTTCGTTTTAGGTGCGTTATGATTATGTTGGTGTATTGATTAACAATATTCTCTATTAGGCAAATCGTCTCCAGTTCCTTTTGAACCTCATGCGATTACAGAACGAATTTACTTCAGTGATACAGCCGTACGTTTGCCAGGTATGTATCGGCTGGTTTACGTTGCTCAACGAGGAAATCTGATTGGAATTTTAGGTGTTAGTCCACCATTTCCAGGTCACCACAGACCTACCTGATAAATTTATCTTCGTTTTTCCTAGATATAATCACGACAGATTATACGTAAAAGTATATATTTGTGTGCACCATATAGCGTGTTTAGTGATATTGCTCACGCAAGGATTAAATACTTTTATAATTAGTAGGAATTGCTTAATTTGTATTTTTAACACTTTGAGGTCCAGTACTTTACATCGTTGTACAAATTATTGGGAGTAAGAATTCGTCTTTGCTATATTTTTATGTTAAACAGAATATATTGAATTATCAAATCATTGTACTTCAGTAACGACAAAAAATAATGTGTGTCGTACGCAAGAGGACCACGAAGGTTTTGAACGTCATGTGGTTTTGCATAATAGCATTTTATTTAGTCAGAGATTGAATAGAATTCGCTTTGAAATAGTAGCTGCAAAGTTCGAAAAACTCTTCTTTATAATACTGTATTTTTCAGTACATGCTGTGCATTTCTTAGAATACTTCTAGAAAATACTATTTTTTACACAGATGTATTTTTATGCAAAGTTTTTTTTATTTATTCGTCTTGGATACCAGTGTTTTATGGAACTGAATACATTCCTGAATTTTGGAAATGCGCCGTATTTGTTGAATAATACAGTAATAAGGTGTACAAGTAGGTGTAAAACTTCACTCAGAGTTTACAAAGCAATTCGTAAATTTCATATCACAAACGATTTTCTTATTAATGTTTGAAAGTTACTTTTGGTACCTGGTTTTTGCTGTCGGGTAATTACCCAAAGGCATTAGTGCTTAAATATCTTAAATACGCTTTAGAGCTTAAGAGTGTGTCGATGTGTTTTCGCGCACCTGACGTTTGAGTGCAATTGTAGATAATAATTAAACGTTAGTTTAAAAAATCTTTCGACTGGGTTGACAAATTGCTGCGACGGTTTGGTTGTACAAACCCGCGCTATTTTATTTTTATAGTACGACAAAAACGCATAGGAACGAACAAATTTACACTGTGGTATAAATGGGAATGCAAATAAAGAAAAATATTTTTTACCTGTTAGACAGATCATTTTATCCCACATTGAAATATTACAAAAAGTTAGCAGAAATGTTTTGAGGAAAACGTTTATCTGACAAGTTAGGTTTAAATGAATAACTTAAGAGCTTTACAATAAATTATGTATACATTTTTTTTGTGCTACAGTTACAAAATATATGATACAAAGGCTTTGTAATTGTGAAATAATTTATTATGAATATAAATAAATAATGTGGAATTATTACAATATGTGATTGCTATAATATACAAATATGTATGTTGAAAACAATGATTGTTATTCAAAAGTTATATTCAGTAAATGCTGAAAATGTTAACTTGTGAATGACATTTTTAGAACAATATTTTATTATTAATTTACAATTTCTATCAGAATACTGCAGTGGTATTTTACCGGTGATGTGTTTTCATGTATATAAGTAATTAATGATAAATGAAACTGGCAATGCTAATTGCTTTTAACCGATCTGGTGTCACGCGTTTTAGTAAAAGATTTTGTGCCGTGAATTTGGGAAAAATAATTTAACGTTGTTGCACACACTTCGAAAAATAAGAATATTGAATGTAAGGTCATAATCCAGCCTATCCTGTTTCTCACAGTTATGCAATGGGTATACGAATATCACAATTTGCACGTGGCATTGTAAAACGAGTTGCAGACGTTTTTATATAACCAGACGTTCTTCGGAAACACGTTATTTTTGTCCGAAAACACGAATGTGATTACAGAGCAGCCAGAACTTATTCTATATACAGTTCCCAGACGTATAATCCAATGTTTTCGGTGATGTATGTAAATAATCGGATTAGAGTGCATAGAAAGATGCGATTTTCAAATACAAGAAGGCACGTGATACCATCCACAGTTAAAAATCTACGTTTCAAAAACAATTTACGTTTGAAGTTTCTTTATGTAATCTTCGTGACGCACCGGATTGTAAGCGAAAGTACCATTTTACACATAAGTTAAAAATCGACCTTTCGTTTGCATTACATTACTTTTCATTATTTTTCGATAAGAATTTTCATAGTTATGTTTAATGAATGATGATAATATCGAGAATTTTGTACAATGAATTATAAATATCTGTACATCGCTAGCTACCGTTTCATTTCGCGTGCAGTGAGTAACGAAAATGTACGAATACGTATTGTAGATTCTCTAAATAAATTTTTTACTAATTTGTATGCACGTTTCTATACACCTCTGGTAAGTTTACACACGTCTATTTACAGTTTTCGTCATTCTACAGTAACACGCGTTATAAATGTTTTGCCATAGTGAACTGTTGCCTGTTCCACTATCCGAACACTTGTTACTCACTGCACACGAGAACTATACATATATATCACTCACATACGATTCTCGTAATTCGTCAAGAAAGTCTTCGAAAAACGTTCATTAAACTTTTGGAACTTTATTCGACCGATTTGACGCTTCAGGCGAAGGATACTAAGAAATATAGTCTCTTCGAAGGAACTTTAGAACAGTTTGAGGCAGTGGTTTCACACAGAATTTTTTGTTCTACACCGGGGAGCAAGGCGATCGGGCGTTCGTCTCACGGAATTATCATTTCGCGTGACACATTGTCGCCGTTCATTATCGGCAGCAAGTACGGTTCCATGCTCCCAGCTTCCGGCGGAGCCAGATCGATACCGCGAAGCTGCTGTATCCTGTGCCAGACGAAGTCCCTCTGTGGTCTTCTGATCACGAACAGACCGAACACGAGAACCCCTTGAAGGGCGTTCACCAGGTCGAACGTGGACCAATCAAACGAGTCACCGTCGACGAACCAGGATATCAGCTCCATCGACCAGTTCAGTCCCATCAGGAAGAAGATGATCAAGCAGACGATGGCCGTTCTGCTCAAGCGTCGTAGACACCTTCGATCGCGACGATCCGACGCCTGATTCCGCGCCAGCCGTCTCAAGTCGAGATCCTTCTGGTACTTCGACAGCTTGAGGAACGTCAAAATGAAGAGAGTCATGTTTCCCAGAAGCAGCAGACCGACTGGCACGTAGAAGTACGGCATTGCTTCGTCGTCCGCTGCAAGATAAACGAAAGCATTAATAACATCCTTTTGTCAAAACCAGAAACGGGGGAACGATTGTCAGTAAATCCGCGTCGCTGTGTTTCACGGAGATCTTTTTTTTTTTATGAACATTTCGCTGCATATGTATGTTCGTTTCATGTAATTGTAATGATTTGCTTATCGACCATTTTACGTTTAGTTCAAATATGTTTGCTGTTGTTGATTCTTTGGAAATGCAGTTTGCTATTTACACATTTACAAATATCATTATTTTTAGGTAATCTGTTTCTTGTTTTTAGTAGTTCATTCTTTTTATTGTATTTGTCAGGTTATAGAAATGTCATTAAAGAGCCGAATGTATTAAGGATTATAGTTTAAGAATGTTACTGTTTTTCGCAGGAGTAATGGAAATTTGTAAGTTGTGAAAATTTTGTGAGAAATACTTAAAGAGTACAAAGAAAAAAAATAAATATCAATCACTATTACTAACATAATAATAATGAAAAGGATATAAAAGGTAACAATCACTGAAATTGAAAAAATAAAATCTAAAGTTGTGCTTTAGTTCAACACAAATAAAGTTTAAAAATTGATTTCAGCATCATTGCTAAAAAAGTACAATACAAAAAAAGTAATTCGACTTTGTATAAAAATGAAATTAAGACTTGCTGTTTTAAAGGTAAATTGTTAAAATCGAAATGTTTAAATTCTTAATCGATAAAATCGAGTACGAAAATCCGTATGCGTGCACTTGACAATGTCCCGATTTAAAGTACTTCTCATTAAGTCACTATTTCTTCCTTGCATTCGCATTTGCAAATATTGACAATGGCATAACTTGTGTTTTTTCAATGTGCCGGTGCCATTATCATCTTCAAGTTCTAATGTCTGTCAATGAATTTCAGTTGTGTGACACTATTGAATTTTGAAAAGTATATAAAATAACGTAAACAGTAGCTGATGGAAAATATTCTACGCTGAAGGTAAAAAAGAATCTTCAGTAACTGAACAAGAAATTACACAGTTTTTTTAGGAGTTGCAGTACAATAGTTTCTGCCGAACCACCACGGTTGGTGGGCAAATAATTTCGTTTTTCGCACATTTAAAAGAGACGTCGTTCATCATTAATCCCATTGATTGAATTTTCAATTGGGGAAACTGTAGTAGGTATTGATTAATTATAACAGAGAAAATTAGATCGTTAATTGTATAAATTCTTATTATTTTAAAATTGCTGTTTTCTTTTTAATGTCGCAAAACGATGAAACTATCCCATCGATCCAATACAGTAAAGGCTCCATGAGAGTTTGAAACTCAGGACCACTTCACAACTTTTACAGTGCACCGCAAATCGTTTCCACACCTCACAAACCTATTTTTTGTCCGAAATCTGAGCTTCGATAACAAAGACCTGGAGGGAGGGGGGGGGGCAGTAAATTATTCGCTTGACATATTCCACGCCCCCTTCCAGTGGTGGGAATAAAGTAGACATTCTCACGAGGAACTTCCTATCCAACTCTTATGGAGCCTTTACTGTATTTTTATATTTTTTAATTATTCGATGTCGATTCGAACAAGGTGAAATCAGGTTAGGAAGAATACAGAGTTCGACTCACATTTGAACCAGCAGCTCTCCTTGCCGAAGTTTGGTTTGACGTATGTGGCCGGTATCGTCGGACTAAGATCCATGATCATCGAGACGAGGATAAGTATCACCGAGGGACCCCAACACCATAAAGAGTACCAAAAGAACAACGTTTTTGGCTTCATCCTCTTGTACGTTTCCCGATCCACGTGGCTGCGCACCAACGACCACATTTCGATGCACATCACATTTAGCCAAAAGAAGCAGGCGACGAAGGAGAACTGGATAACGAACGCTGAAAAAAGTCAATTGTTCTTTAATTGCTCCCAAGTGACCGTCGACGTTTTTCTTCGAAAGGAATTACAATCGTTAGACCGTTTCATGTATAATATTCCGCGGTGTGTACTTTATGCGGGGAGAAAGAATAAAATTTGACGCGGAAATTTTACGGTCACCTCTTGCGTAATTAATTACTACACACTTTGTGAAAACTTATAATTAGAAATTGAAAGATATAAGTTCGATAAAATAGTTAATACGTGCTGTCTTTAGTACATTGAGTGCCTAACTGAATCCATACAAACTCTCCTTGGAATAGAAACTTTTTTTTAACTTAATTTTTTAACTCTATTCACGATTTATACTTTTCAATCTTATCGAACTCTATGAATCTTAAAAAAATTTAGTTTATTTAATGCTCCATCTTGATGATTGGTTTTGTAACCACATTATTCTATCCATAGAAATGTGAAAATAATGTTATATGAATATGTATCTTGAAATATTTAATTGAAAACTGGTAACAACAATATATATTTATGATTTGAAACCATTGAATATTTTCACTGTCCTAATACATACTTTAATTTCATCTTGCGTTCGAAAAGGACATTCTTCGTTTCTAAGGCAACCTTAACATCGTTGTATTGGGTGTTATATTTAATATTTTTTTCGTGTCTTTTAAATAAAGCACTTTCGGATCTATGCTTATATAATATTTTCTGATTTATCTTCGATCCAATGATCCGTACTAGATTCTAAAGTTAAATACATCTAAAGTGAAACTATAAATACCGAAATTTTCTTTTCACATGAAAACATTTAAATGGATTGTAATCAACGATCTTCCAAATCGAGGATCATTGAAGAAAGAGGTTAAAATCAAAAGACGATTCAATTAAAGGAAATATTTTGTCTTTCAGATGAAACCATTTAGACTATCTGAAGGTCACCGAATCATTTAAATACATTCACCTTCCTCAAGGACGCGCGACTGTAAATGTTATCACTGGGAATCTACAAGATTCTCCGCTCATACGATTAAGTACACATCGAAGGTATTGAAAGGCGCGCAAACAATCTACTTGGAAACTGTCATTTTAGTACATCAAAAGACTACAAGCCGCGAGATAATCGTTGATGGATCGTGGGTGATAATCAGTATTAGAAAACAATTCCCTAACGTGAATAAGCATTAAAACATTAGAAATAATGAAGTATTTTAACTCTGTCAATACAAGCATTGGTTGAAACCAACCCCATTTGAAACACCCTTCTGCCAGTCTGTTTACCTGTCGACCAATTAAAACACAAAGGTTGGTGAACGATCTAGTTAAAATAGTAACACGGATGACACATCAATTTGTCCTCGACTTTCGAAGAAGCTACAGAGTCAAGGCTGAAGCAACGCCAGGTATACCTATGTATTTTTTGTAGTGATCATAGAGATCGAAAGAAATAACTGTAAAACCCGAAAACTCTCCATTTCTTTCAGTAACACGAAAAATATGCGCAGAATAAATCGTACGATTTGATAAAATTAACTTCGTTAAGACATTATATTTGAGATTCGTGTCGTACCCCAATATTACGCTGTTGTATTTCTGTATACAATAACAATACGTTTAAAAAGGCAGTCTTACACCGACAATTGTTTTGGAACTTAAAATCCTCTTTCAATAAAAGTGATTTATTAGGGTAATCTATTCGGTATACCAACTTCTACGAGAAATGGCTAATAAGTTACATAATACGAGAAGATTAAGTTGTCGAGTGACGTTCTCGGAAGATGTAGCAACGATGTAAAACTTTGATATCACATTTTGAGGTGTAAAAATCACTTTCGATTAATGACACCGCAGTGATCGAGAGTTCAGAATGATTTGTAGATAAATTCCATGGCAGTCAGCGAAGGACATGCGAAAAGATGCTTTTCCACTAGACACTTACCTATACTGGTGCATGCCTGATCCGACAAATGCCCACTTCCCAGTTGCGTTATCGCTAAAGTAGTAAAAGCCAGTGCCAAACAGCCGCAATAACGGCACAACGCTTTTCCGTAGACATCCCTTAGTTTCGGAGTGATCGAGTACGCGAGGATCGTAAGAACCAGAAATGGCACCGACACCAACAACCCGCAGGCGTAAATGGTAAATCGGGAATCCGCTGTCACTACTAAGCGTTCTGAAACAACGATCGCCGTCAATGTTAACGTGCAAATCGACGACAAGATATAAGATCAATGTCCCTATTTCTAATCATGTAAGAGTTCTGCTATCGCAGAAATTAATTTTTATTATTTATTTGTGTAACAATCGACAAAAAAACTCGTCAGATATAAAATTTAAGCTTCCCTTTATAATTAAACTTAAATAAAAGTATTTTTAATAACATTTTAACTTAATAATAGTTCATTTAATATGAAGTATAAAATGTTCCGAACAATGGACACACTTATTAAATTTATTTCTATTAAAATGCTGCCATCTATTCAACAGCGTATAGCATTTTGTGCGGAAATTCTAAACTAATTTAAATAATTTCTTGTATAAGTAATTTATTATTTAACTTTTTACGTTAAATAAAGAATATACGTACTGAGCGGAAATTGGGACGTGATTAGAAATAGGAACATTGACCTTATATGTGTTTTTTTAATTACTGTATTATGTATTTACCCTCTGGAAAGCATACGAAAGTTTTCAGACCAATATTCGGTACGATCTCCATGCAGTAGTCGACGCCGGGTTGCAACATCGACGGAGCGTCCTGAGGCACGAATACGGATCCATTTAATAATAAATAACTTTCCTCTTCGTTGGTGTTCTCCGGATCTAGGATATACCTGAAAGGAGGCATTCAATCGTAAGAACGAAAATTACTGGTCTCATGGGAAAGTTCTGTGACGTTTGCGCATGCAACGTTTGGCCTACTCTGAATAAACAGGAAAACCTGACATCGGCACGGGACTTCCCCGACTTTGTCGCGCAGCTTTGGAATCATAGAACAATATCTTTTGTTCCCTTGTTTTAAAAGAAATTTTCTTTCTTTCTATTACGTTCTGCTTGTATTTGCTGTTTGTTAAAATAATGAAGTGACCTTTTTGTTTTCAGAGTGAATACATTATTTTTGGTGTTCATTTATTATAAAAGTTCGTTTTTATTTATTATAAAATATCGTATAAGCGGAGATATTTAAGAATATCAGTAAAATTTTCTAGAGAGTGTAGTGAAGTATCCTGTACATTGAATAATTTTAATCGTCAATAGTTTTCGTTTCAGTTAACAATCTCCTATGAACGTCTATTCGCGTTACGCAAGCTGTTGCTGTAGAATTCAATTATTTTGTATGTAAAATTAAACTGTTAGTAATGTTTTGAAACAATCGATGTACTATGGGTTCTATTTTTGCATAATATACATATATATTCTCACAACAAAAATACTCTCATTTGCGCCGGATAAAAAATATTCATTATATTCTATCGATTGAAAGATCAATAGACCAGGAATATCAAAATTTGCATAAACATTCGTAGGTCAATCATTACGAACAGTCTTACATGTCCGTACTCACTTTTTGTATTTACAGGGATCTCCAATGATCGCGACGAACGTATTTTGTTTGTCGCCGGGAAACTCGACACCGGTTCTGTTGAAATTACTGAAGAGAGGAGAGAAGCTGGAACCGATCATAGAGTCAGCGATAGCGCAGATCGCTGCGTGTGTATCATTTTTAATGAGCACCTCACCGTTTGGACAACATTTTCCAACCAGTGGTAAGTGTTTATATTTCTCTGGTAATGCAGTGTCGTTTCCCTGTAAAACAATGATAAAAAATTAATGATCTACCGTTAGTTGTCTATCATCAGTTTTATTCACAAAATGATCATCGAGCATAGCAAATACTCAATAAGTGAAATAAATAAGAGAACAGAGTGAACAGTAAGAAAATTTACGAGAATCAAAGGAAATTCACCAAGTAATAATGAAAAGATGAACAAAATTACATTATTCATTGTTTGAATGATTTTAATAGAAGCCTTGGTGTGCTACGTTATACCATTTATTTGAGGTATTTAGAGATTCTCTTTTTGAAATAACATGTGAAACAAATAATGTATTATTATTACTACTTCTTTATATGTACGTATATATTATTAATAATTTATATTATGCATATAAAAGCAAGAGATCTCAACTATTAGCAATGTTTAATATGGACATAGACACTTCTGTGAAACAGTGCTAATCGATCAAGCAATCTTTGTATCGTGTTTTGTACACAATTTAACGATATTTCCATAGTCACTCGTAACTGTCCATTGATACGTATCTTAACGATAATTTACAATTGGAAGTTCGAATAGCCTCAAAGATAGACGTAGACAGCGAGAGCTCTAAAAATAGTCCCGTAAACACACAGGTACCTACAGACTATTATGTATCACATGTACGATTCTTCGTGCTCTATACAAACGCATCACAATTATATGTATATATTTTATATTGAAACTTTTAAATCTAATGAATATGTAGATTAGCTTTCTCCACCGAAATCCAACGAAATCTGTTAAAATTTCTGCACGTGATGCCGCCAATTATGTTCCATGCGTTACAGAAATGTCGCTAAATAAAACTTTCAACAACTGGAATTGAACACAAGTTTGTAGCTTTTGGACAAAAAATTTGAATGGTGGCTTGATACAATGGCTGAGCATATTTTTACTGCTGGAACAATATACATAATAAACTACATAGGTTTCTGCTTTTACGAATATAAATATTATTCACGAGACAGCAGACAATACTGTTTAACCCTTGCAATACCAAGCCTTTTTTGTCACATGAAATATAAGGGGGGAGTACTTTATGTCCACCTAATAAAAACCAGAAAAATTCTACAAAAACTTTGTTTTAAACATATCTGTGAATAAGAGGTTTAAAGTAAAAGATTCCATTGAAATTAAGAAGAAGTTATTTAACAATAAACAATTTTGTAAGTATTCCTTAAACTATACAAAACTTGTTTTGAAATGAAACTTCAGGCAATACAGTAATAGAGTGGACATAAAGTGTCCCACGCCCCTTGATTTAATAAAAGCATGAAACTCTGTCTACGATCATTTTATACGTTTAACGCGTTTCCACCTACCAGAGGGATCGTATAGATCGTTGGTTTCTCGTCGTTTACGCGTCCAAAGCAAACAGCCAGATCGCAGAGAAGAATGTGCAGCAGTATTAGCAGTCTTTTAGAATTTCCAGACATCTTATGTTGAAACCTTTTTGCAGGAACTGTGAAATCCGTCGTAAAAGTTTTACAACGATTTTTTCGAATGCTTTCCCAAACGGATTGCTCGGTTTCCTTCTCTATCTCTTCCTCGGCGTGTCCCTCTGTTACCAGAGAGTTCAACTTATAAAGTATCCACCTCCGTTAAAAAAAATTTTCAGGATTTAGGCCTCAAGTATCGAGAATTCCGGATAAAGAGAAAATTTGGAGCTTTCGATATGTCGACAACATCTTTTGTCCTTCATAATCTTTTCCTAAATCCTTTGCAGTTCTCAGTGTGCCTCTATATTTCGAGCAAAGTTTGTGTTTTTCATTTAAACTCTGTAACCGCGATCTAGTCGTCTGAATCACTAGGAAACTTTCACAGATCTGGTAGACTTTATTCGATCCTTATCACAGGACTTCCGAGTGACTTCAACCACTTGGATCGAGAAGATTCCTGGGTGTTCCCCGGTTGAGATTCAACGTATTAATTTATTTCCTTGAAAGCTCCCGTGACTGTATCGATCGAAAAATTCTTCACTGATTACTTCCTCGCTATCGATCGAAGACTGAACGACGATTCAGATAATCTGTTAGACGAGCATGAACATTGATAACAAAATCCGTTCTTCCCCACTTTGCTGCTGTCCTTGATGATTTATTATAATTTGGCAAAGTGACCTCTCTATGTATCCACGATCGGTTTGAAATCTTTCTCTTTTAACAAATTCCAAAACAAAATTCCAATTTCCTTGACCCTGTAACATCGTATAATTTTAATATCTAACTAACAATCGAAGTATCATCATCGTTTAAAATCGAGTAAATCAGATGCCACGATATTGCTCGACTCGACTGGGATTATCCTCGTTTCACGTACTTTTATTTAGAACAAAACATTGCGTTTATTAAATGAATAGGTCCAGTGTGATTAGTGTTAATCTAATTGGAGTAAACTATTACTGAACCGATAAGATCAAATGGTCGAGTCATCGCGATCTGAGGCGCCGGGGATCGATAACAGAATGACGGAAAACTATATTTAATGTCATCTCGAAATGACGGCGCGTCTGATGAATGAATATGGTCGTTGACCTACAATTCCCGCTATATTCGACCACGAAACTCGAGAGAAGCCAGCTTGCTGGATTCTCGATCGTCCTCGATCGTTCGTCGCGTTTTCGCGCGCGAAACGACCGATGGTATTCTGTCCCCGGGACAGTTGCGACGGGACACGCGACGAAAGTGTAGGTGAGAAATGGCGAAAACCCAATTAGATCTCTCGTCGTTACTTACTCACGCTTCCGAAATTCCTCGTCGTTCCGTACGCAGACCGGACCAAACCGGACAATATTAATTTTATCGCCCGTGTTCCTTGGACTTTTGACACTGCACATAGACAAGCGAAGATTGTATTTTTTGGTTATTTATCACTGGTAATTCGTGGTAAATCTAGATTCCGTTCACGTATCACTAATTAGATAGATAAAATATGATTTTCACGGATAAAACAGACTTGACCACGCGGGGACGAGCACAAGAATTCGTTGTCGAACTGGTTCTCCCGAGGATCTGCCGTTTAATTGCAGAGAGTCTGAAAGCGATCAGACGCACCGGCTTTTACGTCTGAACGGAGAGGGAGTCTGAACGTAATTTACGTGGTTCACCGATCGACGTCCGGGAACACACTGACTGTAGTCTTGGAAGCACAACTGGCTTTATCTATCAGTGCACGATTACTCGTCCCGATGCATACATCATTGTGAGATTCGGTGGGCAGGTGTCGTAGTTACTAGGGATGGTGTGCAAAATCACTAACAATGATTTATAACAGTCATTAAAGAATTAACTTCATTTACGTTCGTGATCGTGATTTTGTTATCTTCAGTGAATTCTCTCACTGTAATCGTAATTCTTAATCTTTAAAGAAACATATATTCAATATGATTTGAAAATGGATTACATTAATATTTGCGTTTTGAAAAATCAGTAGAAAAAATTAAATTATAAAAGAATGATTTGCTATAATTACACAACAGATATTGTTGATTAAAATTTATAATTATTAATTTATTTGTTATTCTTCATTGTTCCCCATTATTCCTTTATTTTATACGAAGTAGTATTTTTGTTTTTATGCAATTAATATAGAATACTGGTTATTTGACGCGTGCAAAGAATTGTTGTTATATTCTCCACCAATCAGAGACGATCATGAAAAATCACGAATCACTGTAAAAAATCATGGCGATTGGGAACAAATGTGATCGAATCATTTACGATTTACATGTAGCAGTTTACACCATCTCTAATAGTTACACATCTTTCCCTTGAATTTCTATCTATCGACTGTATATACTCGAGAGAAATGATATATGTATATGTAATCTATACAGTGAGTAAAAGAAGGTATTCGTACACTCTTTAAAACAGAATAACCTTTTGAAAATTGAATCTATTGACTTGAGTTTTTGTGTGAAATTAGAAAGATTAGTTTACCAACTGATGTGTAAAAAGATTTTTCAAAAAGTTTCAATTAGTCGGAACCGTGAAGAAACTAGTAAAGGTCGCTTTTTACAACTTTTTGTAATGAACTTGTAATGAGAACTTAAAAAATATATTTCTTAGATTTATGTTAGTTATAGACATGCTAAACGTTTCATCGAAATCGGTTGACGTTGCTATAAGATACAAACGGTTAAAAATGTTGAAAATCGCAGTTTTTCGCGTCTTTCGACCTATAACTGTAGTAGATCTAAAGATCCTTATATGTCCTTATTTTTTAAAGAAACTTTACGAAAATGGTATTCCACAGTTATTTTATTCTTGACAAACCGTCGACAGTCTAATCGTTGCATAAAACTGTAATTTCTCGAATAATACAGTGCGCTCAACTGTTCATTGAGTCCCAGATTCCGCCGTGTCATTTTTAACCGTATTACAAGAATGAAACACGTCCAGTTAATTTCCATATCGCTGAACGCTCGAACGAAAATACCGTACTTGTTCATTGTGCCGCGAAAATTTACAGAATGCGGGAACGCGAGCACGACGGTGAATGCGTTTTCGAGCGGTTCGCCGGAAGTCGGGAAACGATTTCGCGGAATCGGTCAGCTGTACATCGGCCACCTTCATTAGAAATACCATTAACCGATATCGTCGGGCTGTACGTGACGTAACATCGGTGAAATTTTTTCTATTATCGGCGGTACGACATGACGTAGCCGGGCGAGTTACAACAGTAAATATAGTAACGCGTCACGGGTTGTAGGAACTCGAGTCTTGAACTTTGATACAAATACCTTTCCGCGAATTGTAAGTTTCATCGGGCCGGTTCTGGAGAACAGCTACCTACATACGTTATCTTATTCGGTGATTTACGCGAACCACCGCAGCTCGCGAAAGCCAGGGGGGTGCAACCGAGAATGCAAACAGAGGCCAGCCTCTAATTCGAACGGAAACAGAAATAGAGCCGTGTACCCGATTTTGAGTCGACCCTTATTTGAAATTCTGCCGGACATTTTTCGCCGACAATTATTCGTTTTCGCAAAACTGATTTCGGATCGGAGTAATCAATTTGATTAGGTTGACACAAAACGATTTGTCGTTTTTGTACGAAGATTTTGCATTGACCATCGTGCACCGTTCAGTAAGTTGTTGCATTGCTGTTCCTTGAATTAAACTTGATTTAAGCTAAAATTGAATTAAAGAAATATAGTGACACAGCTTGATCGTTGTATATGGAAAGTACTCGTGACAAATTAATTTAGAAGTTTTGTTTTTGTGAAAAGTGTAATTAAAAATTAAAGTCTGAGTTTGAGAGAAATTGATCTGACTGTGCACAAGGGTTAAAGGACTGTGTAACGATTCAAATGAATTTGTAGTGTATCTAAGAATCGAAATTAGAATGAAATTAAGAAAATTCTTGTATTAAATGAAATATGAAATTTTTTTTTTTAAATGTTTTAATATTTTGGTGATGACACATAACTAGTATTTTGCAGTTCAGGAGATGCTATAAGTGCATAAATATTCATAGTCTAGTTGTAAGGGTAATTTATGTTCAACCGTAATTTATATGGTTAAATTCATACAACAGAAACTAAATAACAATTTGTGGTTTCCATTATGTGATTTTAAGATAGAAAATAAGATCAAAATTTTACTGCGATGGAATTGTAATTCTCGTTTATCTTTCCAGATGTCATGCGATAATTTAGTAATGCTTTTACAAACTTCTAATAAACTACATGATTTTTAATACCAACTACAGAAGATATACTGTGATTTTTGTAAACACAAACGGAATGAAAAATGTAGTTCGCGTTCACATTTAGTAAGATCTGACTACGTTGCAGGAATTCGTTTAGTTTTGTAACTGCATTCTCTTTGTTTCGATCTTTCGCGGTGTTAATTACAATTTTCGCATGAATAATCCCGATTAAGCACGTAACTCGATCAGGGCGTGATTTTCAAAGTTTACATTGCGCTGAAGACATTAATCATCCAAGATAAATTTAGAGAGTACCGCAAGCACAGAACTATTATATTCGAGTTCATCGTTAAAGCCGTCTAGAAGTTCACAAACGGCTGAGTTTATTTTAACGAACGCTAATACGAATCAATTCTCTGTGACACATGGAACTAACTCGAACCGAAATCGTCCATCATTCTCGTTTACTGATTTTACTTCATTGACCACATTACACACATATCTATAAATAAAGAATAGTCACACTGAAATTAGACACATTTCACCGTTATTTCTGTGCAGTATAATGTAGTGATACTTCTAAATATATCTAATAGTCATTTTCATACTGCAGAAACAAATGTAGGCGGTAATATAAAAAAAAGGAAAAATGCAATGTTTTGGTAGGGACTTTATTAAATTGAAAGTACACTTATTAAATACATGTTATGTACACTTCCATCAATTTCCTTTAAGGACATCTACTTTAACTAGAAAAAATAAAAAGTACAATTTCTTTAATATT